TCTCTCTCTCTCTCTCTCTCTCTCTCTCTCTCTCTCTCTCTCTCTCTCTCTCTCTCTCTCTCTCTCTCTCTCTGTACCAAATTTGCAAGGAACCCGACTGTTCATCACTTGCTGGAGTGCATCAGATCGCATGCATACACACAGATTTCACAGATTGCGAAGTCTCGCACAAAACCCAATAAAAGATGAAATGAGAACCAGGAAGCTCAACTCAATTATCATAACCAGATTTAAGAGAGGAATTTCATAAGTCCAAAATGTATAGCGCTGAACATAGTTACAAATCTTCTTCGATCAACATGAGTTCCAAGCCTGGCGCTCATCAGCGCCAGCTGCCAAACGTCAACAACAGCGCTCAACAGGTAAGTGTCACCATAGCTCACACCTCCCCCTCTCTCGTTTGTCTTCTTTTCTCTCTCCCTCTATGTCTATTGTGCTGGTCTACTCCCACTCATCATGCATGCTCACTCCCTATCACACGAGGATCTACTTTGCATATTACGCACTGAACTCTCCAACTAACTATCCCTACTAATGTTCTAACTAGCGTTGGCGCAGCTATGGCTGCCTTCCCTCTAGCCAGCACTCTCTTCACTCTCACATAGCACTGCTCTTCAGCCTTGCGCAGCCCACACACATTTGGTGCACAAGTGCCACGACACTTCCACACTCTCATGCAAAGTGAGCATCTATCAAATGGGAGGCTGGCCAGTCCTTTATAGTGTTGGACTGGTCTGGCGTGCCCTGCATTCAGCCTCAAGTGTCTGGGACTCCTGCCCAGTACCCGTTGTTGCAAAGTGTGTGTCCTAGTATTTTTTCCCATGGTCTGCTGCTGCTGTGGGCCATCGGGCCTGTCTGTTGGACTCCTGGTTTGAATCAGGACTGACTCATGGGATTATGACTGGACTGGGATTGTGGCCTTTGACTCATTGCCGAACAGACGTGACTTTCCAACGTGACTTTCCAACGTGACTTTCCAACGTGACTTTCTTAGTCTTAAAAGCTGTGTCCAATACTTGTTCGTTTAGGACCTGTTTGTGACTGTTCAAAATGACCTTTCATTTCATTATGGATGTGACATTTGCCTCAGGAACTTTGTCTTTTGGGTTGCTGCTCGTGAATTTAAGTTCTGGCCGACAGGGCCCCTCGCTGCTGGGGTACTCATCTGGGGTCTAATTCGTAAAGGCCCTTTTAATACGTTCGAATTAATCAAATCGCTTTTTGATATTTCTTTTTTGAAATTCAAAAATAATTTTATTTAATTCTTTTTCTCGTATGTTTCACATTCATTTTCAAAAATTTTCTTGAAATACATCATAATCAATTAATTCCTTTTCGCAATTCTTTTTCAAAATTTTCTTTCGAAATTCCTTTTTTTTATATAATTCGGAAGTACTTTCCTTTTGTTTGCTATTGCAAGGAAAATGAGCAATAGCAAGATGACAATGTCCAGCATGCACAATCACATTGAAGGCCAGATAGTATCACAGTGTCCGGAAAGCAGGAATGCACCAAAATAACACCAAAGAAGATTCGGAACACTGAAAACCAATGTCAATGAGAGCTTGCTCTCGCCACCACCAACACGAGTGTCCAGGCCCTATCTTCCTACTTGGCGCTCAGCGCCCAGCCTACTATCTACACAGCTACTCTTTGCCTACTAATTGACAATGCAACTGTTGACATCAGCAGCCTCCGAAGTACTCGAACATGTCGCCCATGCAGATTATCCCCAATACCAGGTATGTGCCCTCACATCATCATCATCATCATCCTTCTCTCTCTCTCCCTCATCTTACTCCCACGTCTTCCCTTTGTACACCCGAAGACCACCCCTGCGCCTCACTGCACAACCAAGCCCAACCAGCTATGGAGGTTGGGCTATGGAGCTGCCCTTAACAATGCCCTCCTCCCTGCACGACCGCACGCGCTTGCACCTCGCCTCTCAATGCCAGCAGCAGCCCACGAGCGTTCGCTCCAGCAGCGCTGCCGCTAGCATGCAAGTGCCTGAATGAGAGGCCAGGCAGCGAGCTCTTTCCTATATGGAAAAGAGTTGGCCTCCCTTCGCAGCCTGGCTGCCCTGAGCCGGGGCCCAGAAGCTTCCGGTAGGCCCTAGGATGTTGCGCCTCTTGTGCAGCTACTGGGCCTCATTCGGTTGGGCCTCCCAACTGTCTGTGTATGAGGTTGCAAATCTCGCCCAGAGCCTGCGCTTTCAGAAAAGCCTAGAAGGCCTCGCAATTTTTTTCTCGCTGCTCGGCCTGTGTTTCCTTCAACCAACTCGCTCAGCGAGACTGCCTGGACCCCAAATGCGAAATTGACTGCTGAGGGCTTCTCGTGATTTGGTAGGCCCGCCTTCACTTAGGGCGGGCACAGATGTATCAGGGGCCCCCTTAGGCCTGCCGAGGACCCAGATCCTCCCACTATTATGAATTCCTCAATTAATTGTGACTAAATTCAATTAATTCACGACTGAATTAATCTCTTCATTCGAAATTAATCGCCCTTTTTTCAAAATTTTAACCTCTTCTTCTTGTAAAGTTCCTGCAAAATACCTTTTGAATTTCACCAATTATTCTTTGAAAAAAAAAAAAAAATTAAAAAAATAAATTTCAATTCCGAATTAATTCTTGTTTTGTGAATTTTATCTGGGAATTACCTTTATTGCTAAATCAATTGACGACGTTCTACTTTTGTAAACAGGACACCCCCCCCCCCCCCCCCCGGGGCATGCCGCATCCAACCAGAAACTCTCAACGCGCAGCCGCTGACGCCGCCGCTGCTAATGCTGCTGCAGCTGCAGCTGCCACCTCATCCGCATCTACCACCGCTTCCTCCCCCACCATGGCCCAATCATCTAGCATTGATATGTCCGACATCCGCTCCGACTCCGTCGACAGCATCCCCCGCAACCTCGCAAGCGAGCAAACACCAGCACCCAACGTCGCCATCGACCTCGTGGCTCTTTTTGGCATGATGACATCTCTCCAGTCATCCATGGACGACATCAAAACATTCGTTTCCACCATCTCTGCTCGCGTGACCACCATTGAAAGTCACACCCCCACCATCCAGGTCGTCACCACCACATCCCCCCCCCTCACCTCGGGTGCCACCTCCCTTCCCCCATCCTCTGCCTCCACATCTACACCAATCACCCCGTACCCCATGTCCACCGCCCTCTCCACTAGCACGTCATCCACACCTCCGCTTGCATCCACCACTACCCCCACCTTGGTCACCAAGACGACAACCCCTGCCGTCATGCACTCATCAACCATTCCCTCCCAGTCAAAACCCCTCATGACTTCAGCCACTATCACTTCCACCCATACCCAGATCACCCCACACCTCAAGCCCTGCTCCCTGTTATCCCAATACCTCCTCCGTCCACACTCCTCCCAATCAATCCCACTACCGACTTCACCCGGGCACCATCCTCCTCGCCCAAACTTGATTTCAACACCCTCGCCACCACAACACCCTTAACGGGTAACATTCCCCTATCCTTCCGATCAACGAATATCCCCCCCTTCACCGGCCTTTCCCACAAGGACATCTTTGTCTTTCTCAGCAAACTATACGATGCCTTCTCCCTCCACAACGTCCCTGTCACACACTGGCTCCCTATTGCCAGCATCAGGCTACAGGAAGGTGTCGCTCGTTGGTGGTACACCGAATGAGCTAACCGCCAACACGCGAACGAAGAACCCCATTCCTTCCTTCAGTGGGCCAATCTCATCACCTGCACATTCCGACCACAAAAGACGGTCGATGACTACTTTGAGCAACTCTGCCGTCTTCGACAGAGGCCCGACCGACCGCTTTGTCCAATACGTCTGTGCGTTGCGGCAACACATCCCCCTTGACTACGTCAGTGATGCCGCATTCATCTCCCGCTTCAAATGGGAATACCGCAAGGACCTAGCCGCCTCCCTCGTCCATGACCCCCCAATGTCCCTCTCCGATCTCCTCAACCGCGCCATTCACCTAGACAAATTCCTCACCCCGTACAAGGACGCACTCACATCCGCCCCACCCCACCCACAATTCTTTCATAACATCGCCGACGAAAGCTCTCGCTCTGCCTCCGCGGACAAGTTCTCTGCCCCCGACCTCGACATCCTCTCCGACCCACTAGACACCACATCCTTCTCCTCTGACGAACTCTCCGCCATTCACCTCATGCGAATGGAAAAGAGAGAACGCTCCAGCCATCCTCCCATGAACACCCACCCAACCCGTCTCACGAAACTCACGCCGGAGGAGTGAACCTTCCTCCAAGCAAAGGGTGGTTGTTTCCAGTGCCAACAGTTAGGACATCTATAGACAAACTGTCCAAATGCCGGACAGTTCACACGTCAGGCACCCAGGTCCGCCGCGGCACCCTGACCCGCCGCCTCCGCATCCGCCACTCCCGGTCCCTCCTCCTCATGAACATCGTCCCTAGTATCACCATGAGCCCATCCCGACATCGACGACTAGTCTGTCGGCCATCCCATCGATGACGATCTCCACCCCACCGGTGATCCATTTGGCATCTACAATACGTCTGCCAACCGACGACTAGTCTGTCGCAACCCTCGTAGCCTGATGCCCCCCTCACCGCCACATGTTCCGCAACCCTCCTTCCAAATCCATCCTATGCCACCTTCTCTGAAGTTGTTGAGGAACAAGCCCGACTCGATCGGCTTGTCCGATTAGGCAATGAACAACGCTGCCTCAACACCATTATCTCCACCGCCAACTCATCACGCTTTCACCTCAAATTCATCACCGCCACCCTTGGTGCGTCTACGACTAAGTTCTGGGCCCTCGTCGATATTGGAGCCATTGGTAACTTCATCACCAATGTGTGTGCCACTGTGCCCGGAAAGCCGGTCTTACCTCAACCGGTTACGACTCCCTGATTACGATTCGTTTAGGGGACAAAGACGCCGCCGTTGTAGTAGACCGCACCGTTCCCGAGACCACCATGACTGTGGGAACCCTCCGCAGTCAGGTCTCATGTGATGTCATGCACTTAATGTGTGACATCGTTTTGGGGACACTGTGGCTGGACCGCTACACGCCTTGTCCTTGATCGCGAGCGTCCGGAGGACTTGCTTCCAACGGACAAAACCGACCAAGGGCCCCCCTCCAACCCCGCCCTCACCTCCATCCTCTACGAGTTCAAGGAGGTCTCCCCCGAGTCCTTACTCGTTGGATTACCTCCGGATCGTGGTGTGTCTCACACCATCGATTTGGAGCCCGGCCACTCTCCACCTTGTCGCCCTCCGTACCGACTCTCTGTTCCGAAAGCCGAACAAATGAAGCGGCAGCTCAATGAACTCCTTGAAAAAGGATTCATTAAGCCAAGTTCATCTCCCTTCAGCACAAGCTGCCTTTTTTTCAAGAAAGGCGGAACATCTAAACTTTGGATGTACACAGACTACCGCACCTTTAATCGGATCACGATCAAGAACAAATACCCCCTACCTCGGATCTCCGAGCTTCTTGATCGCCTCCATGGAGCCAAATATTTAACCAAAATTGACCTCCGCAGTGGCTTCCACCAAATCTGCATCCGCGAGGAGGACACCCACAAGACCGCATTTCGTTCTCGCTTTGGGCACTACAAGTTCCTTGTGATGCCCTTTGGACTCATCAACGCCCCCGCCACATTCCAATCCACCATGAAACACATCTTCCGCGACCTCCTCAAAGTTTGTGTCGTCGTTTACCTCGATGATATCCTTGTCTATAACCCGACCTTCGAGTCCCAACTTCAGCATCTCCGCCAAGTCCTCTCTATCCTCAAAGAGCAAAAATTCTACGCCAAGCTCAACAAATGCACCTTTGCCGCTTCAAGCATTGAATACCTTGGCCACATCGTCTCCGCTGAAGGAATACGCATGGACCCCTCGAAGGTCACCGCCCTCATCAAGTATCCACCACCCAAGACCCTACTCCAATTTCGTTCATTTCTCGGCCTTGCCAACGACTACCGCCCCTTTATCCGCAACTTCTCCGACATCTCGTACCCCCTCCACGAACTCACCCACAAGGACGAACCCTTCACTTGGAACGACCGCCGCCAAAACGCCTTCAACTTCCTCAAACAAACCATCACCACGGCCCCCGTCCTCAAGATCGCCGACCCCTCTCGACATTTCTACATTACCACTGATGCATCTGAATTCGCCATTGGAGTCGTCCTATCCCGACACTTCCCTCGCGATACCTTTGAAACCCCCTCCATCAAAGACTCCCCCACCCACCACCCGGCGAGTACCCTACCGCCTTCGCTAGCAAGAAGCTCCTTCCCACAGAGATGAACTACCCCTCCAACGAGAAGGAACTCGTCGCTGTGATCCACGCCCTCAAAGTATGGCGCCCGTACCTCGACGGAAAATACTTCACCATCCGCACGGACAACACCATCGTCTCCTCTATCCTCACCAAGAAAGACATCACGCCGCGCCAGGCCCGTTGGTTAGACTTCCTTGCCCAATTCACATTCACCATTTGCCACACCCCCGACAAAAGCAACCGCGTTGCCGACGCCCTCTCTCGACACCCCGACCACAAGCCCTCCGAGAAAGTCTACGCCGCCATGACTCATATCCAACTCCTACCATCGCCCCACCACCGCTACACCCAAGGCTACCTCTCTTGCCCAGATTTGTCAACAATCTACAACAAACTTCGTGATCTCGACTTAGTCCCCAAATACTCTCTTCACGACCAACTTCTTTATAGCACTCGCCAACTTTGCATCCCCGACGCACGTGGCCTCTGTACCCAGCTCTTGGCCGAGCATCACGACGCCAAGACTGCGGGACACCTCGGGTTCCAGAAAACCTTTGACACCATCTCTCGTTACTTCTACTGGCCTTCCCTACTCGCCGGCGTCAAAACCTACATTTGCTCATGCCCCACATGTCAAGTTGTCAACCCCTCAAACCACGCCAAGCCCGACAAACTACAATCATTGCCAATCCCCACTCAGTGGTGGCAGTCCATCTCCATGGACTTCGTCCGCGGTCTCCCCAAGACTGACCGCAGACATGATTGCATCTATGTCATTGTTTGTCGCTTGACTAAACGCGCCCACTTCTCCCTTCCTAGTCCTCGACTTCCTCCTCCTCCAGCCTGTGCTCCTCCACCATAACCGAGGTCGAGAGTTGGGCACCCCTTCCGCAGCAGCAGCGCTGCTCCAACCAGCGTTGCTCCAGCCAATGCTCCAGGCAGTGTGTTGCCAAACTTGCACACCGAAGAATGAGGAGGAACTCTTTGCTCCTCCAAGAGATATAGCGGCTTGCTTGCCTCTTGGTTGGTGACTTCCAGGCCATGCGACCTCCAAGCAGCGGTACCTCCTCCCTTTCAGAAGGAAACATCATTGCAGCCCGTACTGGCCCTAGACTTAGACTGGTTGGACTGGTACCTGCCTAGACCTAGCCTACAACTACCGGGCCTCTAAAAATGTCAACTTTTGTTTTCTTTTGATCAGCTTCAAGTACCCGGCACATCTACCTCTACCTTGTGTGGTGTCGGCCTTCCTGCTACTTGAGTGTTTTTCCACTACTCTAAGTGTCCTAGGCCTCTTTCCCCGCCACTTGAGTGTTTCCCCGCTGCAACCCTCAATGTCACGACCACAGGTAAGTACGGACGAGTACCCTTGCGGGTCACACACACACTGAAACTGACAATCACTCAGACAAACACACAGACCAGCAAGCATGCATACACACAGACTTAGAAAACTCGACAACAAGCAGGAAACTCAGCAAGGCATACATTCCATTGGCAAAACTCGGAAATCGGTTGTGTGTCTCAGTCCATGTTTGGCAGGTCCTTACACTACCCCCCCCCTCAAGAGCGAGGTCCCTTCGAGCGAGTAACTCTTTCCGAGTCCCTGACAAACGCATCGTAAGAAAGCATCGTGAAAAAATTCCCTAAGTACTCAATGGCAGTGAGTTTTGCAAAGATTTTGGGAACAACATTGGAAGCTATCTGTTGTTCTTATGCTTTTACAACACGAGGTGCGCGGCTCAACAGTTCCTTCTTAGAGATCCAGCAGAGATCATCCAATGGGTGGTACATAAAATGGACCTGATATTGTTATGTCCCTCAGCAAGGTGACTCTTAATTCTATCTATCTCGTGACCATCTTAGTTTGCATGAGGGATCATGTTCTCACGGTATTTGAAGGATTTAGCATCACGATATAGAAACAACTTTGACGCGTGAATGACTGGGTATGTGCGCAGATAAGGAGGGTACGACAATTACGTATGAAGGACCAAAGTTATCATCACCAATCACATCAAGAACTTCCCACTGACCATAATATAGA